AAAATTACAGGTGCCTCAGAAATACAAATTGCTCATTAAAATCTTATCTCCTTGTGAATAACACATGCACATGAGTGATGTGCTGTACTCCGGCTGGGCGGGTGGGGGGAGGTTACATCTGATCTAGTGAGTCTTGATCCAGTGGCCAAAACTGGGGCTGGGACTCAGGACTCCTGGGTTCTCTTCCACAGACTTAACATCCAAGGTCACAAGTCATGTCACTGCCGTGTGCCTCGGTTTCCCCATCTGTATATTGGGGATGATGATACCTACTTCTAAGAGGTATTAGGGATTCCTTTCCTGTTGGCAACATGTTTTAAGCTCTGCCGATCGACCTGGCTGTACAAGTGTTCTAATAGAAGGGTGCGTTTCCAACCCGCGTACCTCCATATCTCTTTCGAAGTCATAATTGTCCAGGTTCTGGAAGGCGCTGGAATAGACCTCGAGAGCCTTGGCGTGGAAAACCATCTCGATGGTGACAAAGTCCGAGAAAATCTTCTGCAAGAAAGGAATGTGGGGGTGGGGTGTAACACGGGTCAGCCCTTTCCTGCTCCTAATTATCAAAACCCCTTGAAAGACGAGTCATGTACTGAAAGCACCAAGTACCTGCCCTCTTCCCCAGCATTGACGGCACTTAAGGGCGCCCCCTTTGGCCAGTTAAGGAGTGGCATCATGGGGCTCTGGAGGCAGTTCCATTTGCTCTGCTTTGACCTTATGGATGGTGGCTGCAGTGAGAGACTAGAAAGGAAACGGGTGGGGAAATGAGGAGGAATGAACCCCAACTCCAAAGTGAGGTCGCTGTACCGTCAAAACTGCTCCTAAAAGCCTTTATTCCCCAGATCAAACAGAGCCAGCTGAGACCCGGGGGGGACATAGGGATTTTTAAGACAAGGGACCATTGTGATCATCTTCTAGTCTGACCTCCTGTAACGCAGGCCAGAGAACCTCACCCAGAGATTCCTGCGCCAAAGCCAGCACTTCTGTCTGAGCTAGAGCAAATCTTTCAGAAAGAAATGTCCGGTCTTGATTTAAAGGCTTCAAGGGATGGAGAGTTGACTACATTCCTAGCTAATGTGTTCCAATGGTTAAAATTACCCTCAGAGTTTAGAAAAAACATGCAACTTATTTCTAGTTTGAATTTACCTAACGTCAACTTGTAGTCACAAGATCTTGCTATGCCTTTGTCTGTTTGCTCTGTCTGCTCTGAACCTTCTCTTTGAGAAGCTACATAGATTTAGTCTTTCGCTGTCGGGCAGGTTTCTCAGACCTTGAATTTTTCTTGTAGCTCTTTTCTGAACCCTTCACAGCACACTTTACCTGGATGTCTTTCAGTTTCTGTTTCTGGAACTCGTCGATGGTTTCCTCGAGCTGCTGGGTGGTGCGGCTGGCGTCTACTGAGGCTTTGTGCACATTTGACTCAGCCTGAGAAAAATCCCAAGGGAAGCACAGCATCATATGGTGCCTACGCTGTTCCTTCAGCTCCAGAAGGGGTTAACTGCATGGGCGTCAGGGAGCAAAGGCAGCTCGGTGGGAGCAGAGTATAGAATTACAAGACTGGGCCTTCAGAGAGGAAGCATGGTCCAACGGTTAGGGCACAAGCCTAGATCCTGGAAACCAGGGTGCACTTCCCTGCTGTGCCACAGACTTCCTGAGACCTTGGGCACGTCCTCTATCTTCTCTGTACCTCAGTTCCCCATCTGTACAGTGGGGACAATAGTACCACCCTACCTCCCAGGGGGTTGTGAGGATAAATACATTCAAGATTGTGAAGTGCTCAGATACTCTGGTAATGGGGAGCATTAGAGCCTTAAGATGGGTAGACAGGCCAGAGGAACTGCAGCACCGGGACCAGCAATGAGACCCAGACATGGTTACTGTGCAAGCTCCCCCATCCGTCAAATCCATAAGCCTCCCTGTCCCAGTGTGGAGGTGGTTGGGGGAATGACCGTGCCCTGGTAAACCCTCGTTATAAAGCAGCCCTGGGATTAATGCTTGTGGAGCAATGTTTGGGCTTACAATGAGCAACCTTAGAAAGGAAGTGTTCGCCTTACTGCCGTGTAAATGACTCGGTCCAATATTGTGTTCAAGGGCCCGATCCTGCATCCATCACAGAATCCAAACTCTCCTGGGTCTGACGCTGGCTTGCTTTGGTTGAGCACGGGGTGCAGAACAGGAAACCTTTTAGGTTCCCATTGCACGATCAGGTAAATGGTTTCTTTTGAAACTCACCCAGTGTCTGTCTCCTGGGGCTGTAGCCACACTGGGGCTGACGTGATCTCTCTCTGATGTATACACCTGCTTAGATCCCTGTTCTGTTTCACCACTTGATGGTGATATATGTGTGTGCTTTTTAACAGGCCTGACATTATCCAGCAGAGGGCAGTAGGGCATGCATGCTTCATGGGGGAACAGACCCATGGCCCAACGTGCCTTATTGTGGTTATAGTTTCATTAGCGTAAAGCCCTATGAAAACCTTTGCGAGATCTAGGCCAAATTCATCCCTAGGGAGCTCCACTGAAATTGGCAGAGTGACAGCTGGGGTTTACTTGGCCCTTTTCCTTGAGAACCAATTCAGCCTATATGGCATATATGTTCTGTACGTGTCCCCTCCCTGTGATTTTTATCAGCCAGGGGGTTTAACGTGACCGTAGGATCTTAGTTTTCTAAGAGTTCATCTGCTCCTACTGCTTATTCCTCGTCTGCCTATGATTTCCCCCTAATTCTCTGTATATGACTTTGCAGTCGTTTCCCTCTTCAGATGGGGAACAAACAGAAGGTGCAGATAGTCATAGGGCCTGAATTTTAAAAAGCAGAGACCTGTTTTGTGTGTGCACTGACCACACCCAGGCACCCGAGTTGACACCTTTGCACATGCACATGACCAGATAGGTGCCAGGGGCGAATGTGGAGCCCAGTTTGTTCTTGCACATTCATAAGCCCACCTGCTGAGTAAGCCTCGAATTCTGCTTGTAAGGAGCTGACACCTGGCCTCCTGCGTGTATCCTTAGTCAACGTAAATTAAGCTACAGAAGTACAATGCAGAGAATATTTGCTCTTACAGCAGCAGGGTTGCTTCTAGTTCGTATGTTTCTTAAAGCTTCTTATGGGGTGCTATTGGGTCCTGAACCGGCAATGTCTGTGGAGGGGTCAGGGCATCACAAGTCAGGTCTTCCTTTTCTATTCCTAGGATAGGTTACATCTTCCTTCTGAATGCTGCGTTAGTTGCTAAAGCTGGAGACTGAGCGTCAGGACACCTGGGTTCTCTTCCTGGTCTGTCACTGACATGCTGTGTGATCTTGGTCAAGTCACTTCCCCCCTTCTTTGTGCCTCAGTTTCCCTGAGTTGTTTCAGCTTGTAAAATGGGGATAATGAGACTGACTTTCTTTGGTAAAGTACTTTGAGATCTACAGTGGAAAAGCCCTATGTGAGAACTAAGTGTTATAAACTACCCAGTGGTGGTTCCTCTAGGCGATGGAGGTGGCTGGAAAGTGCAGAATATGCAGTCAGAAGGAAGTTTCTTGTGGGCATGTTGAGGGGGGTGAGATGCATCTCCATGGTGGCAGACACCCTCAGGGAGCCCTACCATGATTTTCCCTTCCAGTACAAAAGATTCTCTAGCTTGCACGACATCCCTCCTGCAGCTAGAGAGAGAGGAGGAAAGGAGCGAATCCATCAGCGCTGAATGTCATTACAGGAAAATGGATGAGACTTATGCCAGGGCTATTTCAGGTACTAAACATGTGGCGTAAAATCTGGACCAGCGGAGCATGGCGCATCAGTGTGTTGATAAGAAAAGCAGCTGGGAGGTGAAATAAAGCCTGCATTAGTGGGGGGATCTCAGGTAGGGAAAAAGCTGGCTGGCAGGGTGGGTGGATTTCAACGCTTTGTGGTGCTCAGTCATTCTTTTTTTCTCCTTTGAATACAAAACTGTAGGGTAAGCATCCACCCAGCCCTGGCAGGCGATGCATCCAAACGTTAACCCTTTACGGTCATGCTGCACACACTTCTGAGTACACAGGGGCAACTCAGGGCTAATGTGTCCACTGAGCATTCCTGCTGAGACCTCAGGCCCAATTCTCCTCTCCCGCTGGTGTCAATCCACTGACATCAATGGCGCTGGTCTAAACAGGGCACGTGATAAATGAATCCCTACTAGCAGCGCCAGCTGAGATCAGGTGCCATTGTGCTAGACTCTGCATGTATGTGGGAAGAGGGGAGGTGGTTGCAATATTGATGGGGGAGGGAGAATTTTGACTTTTCATTAAAAAAAAAAAAAACCCTGAAAATTTTCAGCCAAAACATTTTTGATTGTTTTGACAAAGTCTAAATTTTCTGCAGAAAGCAGACACTTCACCAAAAATGTGGTGTAACTGAAAACCCAATTTTCCATCAAAAAAACCTGTTTTCACAGAGAACTTTTGACCAGTAAGAGAGAGTCCTTGCTCCAGTGTGCTTACAGCTTAAACCGACAATACAACCCAGGATGGGAGAAAAAGCCGGATTCCAGTTCCTGGTGCTATTGGAAAGAATTGGGTCTTGACTGCACACCATGCTGTGTTATAAATACCACAAGGGGGGGAGGGGTTAAGAATGTTCTGTCCTGCCCTGGGTCGAGCGTGTCTCTTTAGCACTCACCTGTGCTTTATCCTGACAATCTTTTACTGTCCATTGCTTGAAATTAGATCTTGGGCACAGGACAAATATTATGCCCAGAGGAATTTGTGCTTACCTGGGACTGACGGCAATAGTCAAGGAACAATCTGATGAGACGGGGAGAGTTTATAGACACACTGATCCTTGTGCTGGTGTCTGTGTGAGCAGCTGAGCCCAGAATAACTATCTGAACTGAGCAGTTCTAGTCAGATGCTTGTGGGCAGGAAGGAATCTTGTGTTCTTACACTGACTGCCCTGATTGCATTTCTGAAAGAGGATTTTCACCCCGGGGCAAACATGACAATTACTCACCCTATAAAACGGAGGCCGAGCTTTGCCTGTGCCTTTGAAATAGTGCCAGTCGGACCAGCGTATCAGCCCGGCCGGAAGGAACACAACAACTTATTGCCTAAGGTGCCCATATGTCCCGTTTTGGCCGGGACAGTCCCTTTTTTAAGCCCTGTCCCGTCTGGCCCAACTTTTCTGGCAGTAGTGGGCATTTGTCCTGTTTTTACTCTTGGCAATTGGATCAGTTGGCAAGAGCAAACGGGACAAATGCTCACGTTTGTCAAAAAAGTGGGGTGCGGGGGAATTTGTGGGGCGAGGGTGAGTGGAGATGCCAGCCCCTTGTGGAGGGGGGGAGGAGGCAGGGCTCACACGGGGAGCGGGAGCAACAAGCCAAGGCTGCAGCGAACAGCAGCTGCCTCTTGTGGGGGAGAGGGGCAGGTAAGGTTCCTGCAACCCCAGCCTCTTGTGGGGTGGGGCAGGGTTCCAGCGAACCCAGCCTTACATGGGGGGCAGGCAGGGTTCCAGGGACCCAAGCCTTGTGGGGGGGGGGACAGTCATGGTTTCAGCAACCCCAGCCTCACAGCGGGGCGATGGGGGAAGGGAGCCTGGGTTAGCCCCACACGGTGTCCTGTTTCCCCTTTGGGAAATATGGTCACCCTAATATTGCCACATAGGGGGTGATCTCAGTGGAGGGAGGCTACCTGTCAGTGCAAACAACTGCTTTGTAGGAGCTCTTGCCCTTAAAGCACCTACAGAGCTGGTAGAGAAACCAGTCAAAATCATGACCTTTTTTTAAAATTTTTTACTGTCCTCCCCCTCCCCTCCCCCCCCCCCCAAAAAAAAATTCAATGAGTTTTTTGGGAAGCTCACAAACCTCCAGCTACCTCTGTAGCAGGTGGAAAACCCACAAATGTTCATGGAAAAATAGAGTTGAAAATCTGCCAGGTTTTGCACTGAAATTTGATTCCCCCCTGCCTCCCCCTCCCCCATGAAAAATGGCATTGAAATTCAAAAAGTGTCAAGCAACTCTGCGCATGTGCAAATGAGGAGCACAAACCTGAGTGCTTTTTGCACCAGGCCTCTTGGAGACAGGACCCTAGGGGAGCGTGAGCCTTTATGTTGCCCCGTGTAGGAAGCTGAGCTGGGGGGCCGTGTGGTCCCCAATCAGCATGGTACTGCTGTGAATCTACAAGAGAGAGTGACATCCAACCCTTCTGGGGAGAGCCCATGCTAGTCCCTGGATGCAGTGTTTTGTTTCCAGAGAAGCTGGGCCTACACAAAGATATCCAGTTACTTCTTTCCCCCTTGAGGATCTTTGGGACTTTCAGCTGAGAATTGCCTTCTTTGGAAAAGCTGCGGAAGAGGTTACTTGTTTAAAATATTTCTGCCAGGCAGAGGGAAATCTCTTGAGCTGTGGCGATGATCCCTTTGAAAAGGTGTCTCGCCCAGAAAGTCTGACATAACATGAGAGAGACAAGGTGGGTGAGGTAATATCTTTTATTGCAGCAACTTCTGTCGGGAGCAGGGACAAGTCTTCGAGCTGGCACAGAGCTGTTCTTCAGATCCGGGTTACAAACTGACCCTCCTTGCGTTTAGTTGAGACATTCTGGCTGTCTTCTCCAGACCTGGGAAAGAGCTCTGTGTAGCTCGAAAGCTTGTTCCACTTGTTCCACCAACAGAAGTTGGTCCAATAAAAGGTATTGCCTCACCTGCCTTACCTTTCTCATATCCTGGGACCAACATAGCTACAGCAAACAATATAATAAGGTGCGTTTCCCTGGTTGGGGGGGGAAGGAGGGATATTTTGGAAAGGAACATTACCCTATTTCCCATTCACACACCATTCAGTGAGGGCTGATATGGGGGGAAGCACTTAGACTAGTTAGCAGCTGAGCCCTCCAAGATTTATGTGCAGAACGTGGGCCTGGGAACAAATTTGAGATGCGTGTGACCAGATTGGTGTCAAAATGTAGCACGTGTGAAATCTCCCCTTTCACGTCTGCAGCTTGATAAGGAAGTGGTTGGGGGGAGGTGGAATTGGCGGCTCATCACCTGTCCCGCAATCCCATTGCATGCGTCTCGTTTCTCTGAGCTCCGGCTAGTTCCCAGGGAAGCCTGTGGTTAGTTTACAACAGTCTGGGTTTTCCCTTACTGGGGTGGGTGGTTTCCTGACGCAGGTCGGTTACCAACAGATTCTGTGGAACGTTCGGAAGAAACCACAATGAAACATAAGCCGCTGAGCCCTGACTTCCTACCTCTGCGTTACTGATCAGCCAGTGCTGCAGGCTGCCAAACCAAGTGCTAACTCTGCGCCTCTCAGGTTTTGTAACGTGGCATAAAGGATACGAGTGTGTGTCGGTCTGAGGGTGACTTCTGCCGCAGTCTCTCCAGTTTCTCCAGTTGCTTTATCTCATTGTTTCGGACTTTGTTGAACCTCTTGATCTCTGCCTAGGAGATGAGATACGTGCGTTTGTTACAAGGCTGGCGCGGCCAGCTGGCTACGGGATGTGGCAGGGTTACCATGGTATGGCACTTACCTGTGTCTGCTTGAGCTGGACTCCGTACCGTTTCAGTGGCTCCACAACCTTCATTTCCAGTCTCTCCACCTAAAGGGGAAAATCACACATGCAGTACGGCGGGGATATAATGTACTCGGTACAAACAGGGCTGGCTGATAGCCTCTAGCCACCAAGCAATGTCACTGGAATTGCCCTCTGCTCTGTCATCACCTCAAGGGATCCAGATCATTCAGTCCTTGCTCTGTCGACACTGCCAATTACAGCAGGGACCTCAAAACAGGAACCGGGCTGGCAGCCATGGACATGTTCCGTGCAGGGCCCTGAACATCCATCAGATGGCAACACTAAAATGCTGCTGACCGGAGCTGGATTCGAACCAGACACCTGAGAGGCGAAAGGCCCTCTAACCCACTGCCACTTCCCTAATGCAAAAGGCACAGCGAGATATGGAAGAGGGTGAATCCTCTCCAAATAGTAACCAAAGAATGTCCCATAATCTCCTCAGAAGCAGAAATTGGGGGATGACGCAGAGCTTGTCAGCTTGGATAAGGGATAGATTCACCCCTAAAGTTCTTCCTTCTTAGCTTGGTTCCTCCCTTCCAGGCTGGAAAGGACCAGGAAGACTGCACAGATCAACACCCTCAGCCACTGAACAGGGAAAGCAGCAATGAGCCCGGCCATCCTAGGACAGGACACTAGTTGCTAGTGTAACACTGACAGACCCCGGTTGTCGGCGGGCAGGATCGAATCTGGGACCTCTGCAGCTTAGTGCGTGAGCTTCTACTGCAGGAGCCAACCTGTGGCTCCGGAGCCACATGCGGCTCTTCAGAAGTTAATCTGTGGCTCCTTGTGTAGGCACCGACTCCCGGGCTGGAGCTACAGGCACCAACTTTCCAATGTGCTGGGGGGGTGCTCACTGTTCAACCCCCGGCTCTGCCACAGGCCCTGCCCCCCTCCACCCCTTCCCGCCCCCTGCCCTGAGCCTGCTATGCCCTCGCTCCTCCCCCCCAGTGTCTCCTGCACCCCATGAAACAGCTGATTGGGAGGGGGAGGCGCTGATCGGTGGGGCTGCCGGTGGGTGGGAGGCGCTGGGAGCGGGGGGGGAGGGGGCGAGCTGATCCGGAGGCCGTTGACGTATTCCTGTGGCTCTTTGGCAATGTACATTGGTAAATTCTGGCTCCTTCTCAGGCTCAGGTTGGCCACCCCTGCTCTACTGCATGAGCTAAAAGCCACGTGGCTTCTAGCTAAGGCTGTAGAGCAGACTCCTTAATCTCTAAGTGGTCTCGGTGCCACTAGATGGGACAGAGCACCACACCCAGACGGTGTGTGGGTTACACTAGCACAGTATATCGACAGACAATGAAATATTTACTGTTTCCTGTATTGCTCACATACAGGTCCATTGCTCCCTCAACGTGAAGTCCCATGACTATGGTCAGATTGTGCCTCCCTAGCTGTGATCACACTCCTGGCATAGTCAGTGTTGCGGGGGCTAGGCAGCTCCTTACCTCTGCCTGCCTGTAGTCCTGCACTTTGGCCAGCTCCTCAGCAAAGTTCTTCATGGTGCTTCGCAGCTCAGGGTTCTCGGTGTTCGCATAGTCGATGAGCTGCTTCACCAGGAGATCTGACTTGTCCCGCAGCTTGGCTGTCTTCCTGGCGTAGGAGGCCATCAGCGTGCAGAACTGGCCGAAATATTTCTCTGCGTTGGCTACTGTGTTCTCCATGATCCTCACTTGGCTATCTCTGGGTAGGGAAGAGATGAGCCGCATATAGGGTTAGTTCACCATCAATGCTGGTATGACCCGACTTTAGAAACTTGAGCCCAGAGTTTTCCAGGATTTCTCTTGTGGGTGCATCAGAACCCCACCTTCGTATGTATGGAATGGTGCATTTGCATGCACAGATTGGAGAACTGTGCACCTGACTGCTCAGTGCATGTGCACACACACACTCACACACACACACACTCTCTCTCTCTCTCTCTTGGGTCTCAGGTGTCTATTGTTGGTCAACCACAAAAGGAACAACCCAAGTCAGAAATTCAATAAATCAGGCTGAAGGGTTTGTTACCCAAGAGCCTACGGTGACAACTGTAAACTTGAAATGTTGGGCCACTTGTGGAGACTGCCTTCGAAACAGTTGGAGCAGTTTCCCAGTAGGAGGTCACATCCGGGCCCTGTGTCAGATGCTGCTGTTCAGAATGTCTTGAGCTTGCAACTAGACCCAAAAGCTGTCCCAAACATTTTACAAGCATCAGTTGCGAGAGTTGGTTGTAATGTGTAGGAGCAAGATTTGGGTTTTTTGTCCAGCCATACTGTTTGGCTGTTTCAGTCCATAATGGTTCCCAATGAGTCAGTTCATCCCGTCTCCTTATCTCCATTCCACAGTGCCTTCTCTTGCTTTGAAAATGACCTCCCCATGACAGTGCTGGGCCTCATGGGATAGGTGATTGAGGTGTTCCAGCACAGGGGCAAGCATGGTTTTAAGGGATTCCATAATGGACTATGTCACAGTTCCAGGGCTAGCTGTGCCCGTCTCCTCTCTGGTCTCGGTCTATGCTGCAATAAAAGACCCGTGGCATGGTAGTGGCTGGCCCGGGTCAGTTGACTCAGCCTTGTGGGGCTCCGGCTGCGGGGCTATAAAACTGCTATGTAGACACTGGAGCCCACAGTCTGAGTGCCTATGAAGGGAGAGGGTCTCAGAGCCCAGGCTCTAGCCTGAGCCCGGACATCTACGCTGCTGTTTTTAGTCCCGCAGCCCGGGCCCTGCAAGCCTGAATCCGCTGGGCTGGGCTCTGAGACGTGGTGCCATAGGTTTATCGCTGTGTAGATGTATCATCTGAGCACTTCCCCCCCCCCTCAGGTGTCAGGCCTCATGCCTTTCTCTCTCCTGGGGTGGAATCGCGTGATTGTCCCGCTTGGAGGCCAAGACCCGGGCTACAGCACTCTGTGGATCACTCGTGCTTTCTCAGCAGGACCAGCTGCAGTTCTTCCCTGCGGGAGTCTACGAGCAGAGGTCCATAGTGACCAAAGTCTGAAGGGTTAATCTTAAGAGCAGGAATAAAGCAAAGCATAAGAGAAAAAGGGTCTGAATAAGCCCAACCTATGAGAGGAGCCCAGGATGGCCTAGCACTTCAGGCAACCTGGTGTGTGTCTGTGGGTGTTCCCTGAACAGCCCCCTGACAAGTGCCCCCTCCCTCAGGAGACTGACTTGTATCCCTGGGCTTTTTGGTTCTCTTTGGTGGACAGAAGTAGGACAACGGAGCCAATGGCCCTTGCATTCTCTCCGACGTGTCAGCCGCTGGGTGGCTATCTGAAGCCAATGTATCTTTCCTGCCTATGTGCAGTCAGCCTCTTAAATGCACCCCAGGTTTTCATCCAGCAGTACACCCTAATCACAGTCAAACAAACATATAGGAGTCCTAAATTATTACAGAGCAGCCCATTGTCCATCACAGCACTGTCAAAAGTAATGTGGATCGGCTAAATCCAGGCCCCATGCTAGGAGTTTTGCCGGCAAGGGTGGGAAATGTTTTCAGTGCCCCATTTTCCCCTTCCGCCCTGAGTGGCCAAGAGGAAAAAAAAATCACCCTCTTCTCCCCCTCCCGCCCCCCCTCAAAAACAAGCAACCTGCCCACCCTGGTGGCCAATCAGCTGAGGTGGGAAAAAAGGTCTGAGAGGCACAGCATTATGGCGAACCCCCGTGGAAGTTGGCACCCGAGGCAACCGCCCCATTTGCCTGCCCTTAAAAGCAGCCCTGACTAAACTATTGCAAGGTTTGGGGAGCGCCATTTCATGGCACAGTTTCCTCACTTGGGGGATACACTTTCACCCAGGTCTCCCTGTTTGCTGGTATAGTTTGTACCCACCTAAAACCATGGAGGTGCCAATTTTGCAGATTTTGCACCTGCAGATATAGTCTGGGTGCACGTCTTAGCACTGGGATGACATGCTAGCAGGATAGGTAGCCTCTCTAGTGCTGCTACTTGCACCTGCAGTTTATTTGAGATACAAAAGTGCACCCATGAAAAGGAGGCTGGGTGGCTGAAGAATTGCCTCTTGGTGTAGCCTGGCTTTTAGGGGTCTGATATTTGGCATTGTGTGGCTGCCCTTTGGGGCAGCTGAGCCCCACACTGGGCAGCTGGATGGACTCATCTGGCAAGTATGTGATCTGCATAGTACAACCGTTGAGACTCGAACCTAGACCCTCACGGTCAATAGACAGCAACTGTTCCAGGCTAGCTAAAAACAAGCCTCCCCTTGAGCCATTGGGAGCCGTGCTAAACTCCGCTCCGCTCACAGTCGTTCTTGACACATCTCCCAGCTGCATTGCCCTGTACGGTACTGGTGGGCTTAAGCCGATTATTGAATGCTCCTTTCATAAACTTCAAATCCGCGCCACTTCATCCCATCTAGAAACCCAAATCCCCAAGCTATCAGTGTAAGACCTTCCTAAATTCTTTTAAGAGCGGTATTAATGGAAAGATACAGCTGCAGTCTGCCTATGTGTCTAGTTCTCCCAGCAGCTCTGCCAAGAGTGCTGCAGCTGTGCATCATCTAATGAAGCCTGTTGGTCTCCATCATGTGAGCTTGACTCATTGCCACAAAAGACCAGGGGGCCTTACATTTCTCAAGGCTCAGAGCTGTAGTTAAGTGCCTTCCCCCGACCTCATGTTGAAAATAAATCATTTGCAAACAGTGCTGGCTCTCGAGAGCGTTTGCTGCTTTAGGCAACGGTGGGACTATGCCCACCCCTCCCAGGCTTGCTGCAATGAATAACGTCACTAAACATAGTGCTGCCCCCTGGCCTTTCTGTCTCTTCTGTGTGGTGTAGCCAGTCACCTTTGCAGCGTGATTTTACAGCACTCAGTTGTGGGCTCCTCCTTACAGGACCAGAGCAACAAACTGGAGGGAGTTCAAAGACACAGCCAGTGAAATGAGCAGGGGCTAGAGCAGGGGCGGGCAAACTTTTTGGCCTGAGGGCCGCATTGGGTTTTGGAAATTGTATGGAGGGCCGGTTAGGGGAGGGGGTCATGGCCTGGCCCCCACCCCCTGTCTGCCCCCCACCCTCATTCCCTGACAGCCCCCCCCCCCGGGACCCCTGCCCCATCTGCACACACCCCTCTCCCTGTCCCCTGACTGCCCCTGGAACCCC